TTTATATATATATATATATATATATATATATATATATATATATATATACACACACACACACACACACACTCACTTTATTTAAATTAATAAATATAGATATCTTATAATTAACTATAATAAAAAAATATGAAAGTATAAATATATGAAAAAATAACTTCTCATTCAAATTGGGTGGGAGTAGTTTCAAGTTGGAGTTTTTAAATTATTTTAAAATAAAAAAGCAAAAAAAAAGATTAGCTATCAAAAAAAACGAAAAAAGAGAAGAAAAACTACCCATTCAAATCGGGGAGTAGTTTCAACTTGGAGTTTTAAAATAATTTTAAATAAAAAATGAAATTAAAAAAATAATAAATTACCAATTCAAATTGGGGAGTAGTTTCAAGTTGGAGTTTTAAATAAAAAAAACTTTCAGAGAAAAATATTAAATAGAGTAATATGCTAAAAATTCTATTAACAATGTAATAATATTAAATATTGGATGATATAATAAAGAAAAATACATAACAAAAACGTTATTCGATGCGCTGCCTGTATAAGTCCCGTTAGTTTAACAGAGATTTTATTCATTAAAATTTAGATAATATTATTAAGAACAGAATAAAATTTAAAAAAAATAAAAAATTCAACAGTAATAAATTGAATATCTTCTCATATATTACATAAAGAAAGCGAATACTAAACATTGACTAACATAATAAAGAAAAATATAGAACAAAAAAGTTATTCACTGACTATATAGGTACCTTTGATTTAATAGAGATTTCATTATTGGGTATATCGTATTGACAAACAAGATGACAATTGAATTTTATTAAAGCAATACGATCTAATAGGATCAAACAAGCCCAATCATAATTTAATTTAACTAATATTTTTTTAATATTGACCGCTTACGACTACTAGTAAAGTGAAAAGGGAAAAGCAAAATAAATTGAAAAGCAAGGCGTTTGGGCCGAATTCTAAGCGTTGGTCGATAAATCCATTTTAACCACCGTATGTCCGCAGCTTCCATTTGAGACAACTGAGAGCTGAAGAAAGCTGAAAGCCATGGCAACTTCATTGGCAGCGATGACGGCTCGTCGAGCCGCAACCTTCACGCGCTTCCCCATCTCAAGCTCTACGACTCAACCAGCTTCTCTTGCTCAGCGCCGCGGCCTTGCCGGCGCTGCTGGTACTAATCTCACATTTCCTCTTTTTCCAAAACATTTTAGATCGATTCAATCATTTCTCTGATGTGGCTCAGTAACTTTGGAATGAATTAAATGTAAAGATGCTGATACCTGAATATATCATTATATTGTACCACTTATGTGTATCTATGCATGTGTGTGTGATGGTGACTGATAGTATTGAAAAAATGGATGTATTTTCAGATCATCACGGGCCACCTAAGGTCAATTGCTGGAAAGAACCTATGAATCCTGCACAATGGAAAGAAGAACATGTGAGTTATCTAATTTGATGCTTTAGTTCTAGGGTACATTTTTGTTATTTTGTGTTCATCAGGAGTACAATATCTGGAGCTTAAATAAACTAATGATTGTGCAAGTTTGGTGTTTGTAACATGGATATTGATTGGTTTGAAAATATAATTAAAAATGCAAAGTTCAAAGTGTTGCCTATATTCCTATTTCCCTAAATCATCACTAGATATTTGTGCCAAATGGCTTCTTAGTAGAGATGAAGAAAAAATATAATTCCAGAAGATAAAGAGTAATATTCTATCACTCTTAGCTGACAATTCCCGTTTGCAGAATTAGTTGTCTCTTTTTTGTTGCTCAATAGGACATGCTTTCGAGGCTTTTGATATTAGTTGAAATATCAAATTTATATGTCTGGAACTTGCAGTTTGTGATTGTATCTTTGTCTGGATGGGGCTTGCTTTTCTATGGTGGATACAAGCTCTTCACCGGAGGCAAGAAGAACAAAGAAGAGGTACTCACGTGTTCCTTCGAAATCCTGAACACTGATTGGTGCTTTTACATTTCAGTTTTTACACCTATTCCAAGAATTGGAGATAATCAAATCTCCTGTAGGAGTAATGTTGCTTCCAATCACACGGACCTGTTCAATTTGCAAATGATAGAGCTTTTAAGCCCAGTTCATTAAAAAATGATTTAAGGAAAAGATGAAGTCATAGACTGTAGTAGCTTACTTTCCTATACTTATGTGGAGCTATATAATATGGGCATTATTGATTGAAGACCATACATGGAAATCTCATACTGTTGATTATTTGATTAATCAACATTTGAACTGTTCATCCAAGTGTTGAGGAAAACAGAATCCTGCATTTTCTTGTTTAGTGCTTCCTGAAAGCAGTGACCTTAGATTCTTTTTTTTCCCTGATGATGGTGGTGTACTGGCCAGCGTAGATATTATTTTCATTTTTTTATCAGGTAGATCTTATTGTCATTTTTAATGTTAAATTTGTTCCTCTCAACTTTCATCTCAGTTCTCAGAAAGTAAATTAGTCCTGTTTGACTTTGATTTTCTTTTAACATGGTGCTTCTTAAGGAATGGCTTTCAGCTGATGTATCAAAAAAAGGGAACAAAAGAGGAAGACTTGCATTTGAATGATCATTCTAGTTTGAATTTCAGTTATTAACTGAACGAGAACAAAAGGAATGTTCTATCCAATTACTTCTTGCAAATACTAACAGTGTGGACCAGTAGCAAAAAAAAAAAGAAAGATTTAGGGCCGTTTAGTAACAAGTTTAGAATTTGAAACGTTGCTTGGTGTATATGTTTTTAATGTTAGAAAACAATAACAATTCCCTGAAAAGCAGTGTTTCTATGAATGGTACTAAATAGATGCTTTCCATTGGTCATTAGTGAAATACATGTCTTGCTAATGTTTTACTCAATTAGTGATCAATCTTTTAGTAGAGCTTATGAGTGATGACTAATATCAAATGCCTCTCTTTTTTTTTTTGATCAGTTGATCACTAACATCAAATATAATCAAGTTTAATGCAACTATTCTGGGAAAGATTCCCATGCATCGAAGAAGTTTACAGACCATAGTGGGAAGAGAGAAAGCCCCACCTTGAGAAATATAGATAGAATTTAGGATTAAAGAAAGTGACAGAACAGTTTGTGAGCTTCCATTTGCTATTTCTTTCAAAGTTATTCAATCCAAGTGTGTTGAGGGAAAAGTGAGGAAAGATAGGGAGGTTTCAGTTTGCAGGAGAGAAAAGTAAAAGTTAACAGAGATCAATATATGATTCTTATTCAAGCTATTAGCTAAATACTCTTGTTGTAGATTATGTTGCCTATTCAAGTAATCACGTTTTTAATATTTTTATCAGACCCTATTATTGAGTTTCCAAGTGTATTTGCTTTGATAAGGTTATGTAGAACGATTTCTGAAATGCGTGAGATGCCACAAGGTCCGACTTGGTTGAATTGGGGTTTCTTTGGTTGGTACTATGAAATAAGATTATAAGATGTGATTGGAAATGCTATCTTGTGGAAAATGAATTCTTACTTTTTGGTTAATGAATATACCAAATAAACTGAAGAAATTGAAGAACAGTGTCACATTCTAGTTGAATTTATACTTGTATAGCGAAGATATAACTGAAGTCACAATTTATGATAGATAATTGGGTAGGGACAAAAGTTTCCTATCATATAATGCTAAACCGACTTTGATTACCGCTGTTGTATTTAATGAAACATTATTTGACTAGATCTACAGTCTAAGTCATAATTTAACTTGTTAGTTTGATTATTAAGAAAAACTTATGTCAAATTTTACATTTGTTTTGTTAACTGAATTTGATTTCTTGATACTTGTGAAAGGTGTATAAAGTAGTGCTATTAGCAGAATGTTGTTGGAATCGCCCAAAGTAGAATGAGTGTTATAAATTGGGATAGGAAGTGGCGCCTTCTTTGATCGTAAGTAATGACAATTATATGCTATTTATTTCTTATATTTTCAGAAATTGGTTCAAGCGGCACAGTAAGGTTTGAATTTCAAGGCGTTATTCCAAGACTGGGAATTTTTCAAGTCCCAGGTCCGAGGGTTTCTCTCTAATAATCCAATTGGTGGAATGACATAAGTTCCTTTCTTTTCTTTATATTGGTTTCTTTCTATTGTTACAAATGACACTGAGAGTTTTTGAGCCAGTAAGTCGCGAACAAAGTTGGTTGTATCACCATTATCAGTTCAGTATCTCCTTATATTATCAAGATATATGGAGTGGTTTCTGCCCGTTTGCTTCTCTTAGCTTTCTTCATCTTGCTTATGCGTTGTCTAAATTCTGTATATCCATTTCAAGATCCCATAGCCTAACTATCATGCAAATTTTGAACGTCCAGTGATCTGGAGGTATTGTCAATCGTAAACAAATTACAAAGTAGTATCAATGGGGTTTAACTACATAACATGTCTTCAGACAACAGATACAACAACAACAACAACAACAACAACCCAGTGAAATCCCACTAGTGGGGCCTGGGGAGGGTAGTACGCAGACCTTACCCCTACCCCGTAGGGATAGAGAGGCTGTTTCCGAAAGACCCTCGGCTCAAGAGAACAAAAAGACAAAGGTAGACAATGTTAGTATCATCACATAAATCATAAGAAAATCATAAGAAAAATAGGAACAACATAAAATCCGGAAGAAAGATGCAAAGCAAAACCGATAGGTAGCAAATATGTCCTGCACTGAAAATACAGCATTGACACTAGCTATCTTAGACAAAAACCCTACCAGACTAGTCTCACAAAGGTATTAGTATGACAAGACTCAACTACCTCCTAACCTAAAACCTTAATGCTCGACCTCCACAACTTCCTATCAAGTGATGTATTCAATGACGGTGATGAGACACTCATAAGGGTTCTTGTTTAGATCTTTATTCTTATTACTTAGTAGTCTACAGTATGAGAAAGCTTAATTTACTCGGGAAATGCTCTAAATCTATCCTTCATCATCTAAAACCATGGCTCTAAAAGTTAAATGCCTTGATTTTGTGTCATTACCCAGTGAACACAAGGAGGCTTGTTTCCTTTCTTTTGCCCTATTTTATCCATGTTTATGCTTTTCTGGTGTTCCTTTTCCAATATCTAATTAGGAGGGAATGAGTTCTTTTTTTGTGTGTGTTTATGTTGGGAGGGTGGGTGTGTGGGTTGCGGACATGGGGTTGTTTGAAGAGACATAAAGTTATTAGTGAATAGAAGCTACAAATGCTTAAACTTTACAGCTCCAAGAGGGCAGAGTGGAAGTGTTTCCCTAAGCTAACCTTAAACATGACACTTTCTGTGATCGACTTCTAAATGAAGCACATCATTAGCATTTTCTAGCACTGCTGTTAGACTAAAATTCAGGCTTGTCGTTGTTGTCTCCATCCTCTCCCAAGCTGGCAGCAGAGCCTGTAGTACTGTCTGTCTCTTCTTCTATGTCCTGACCACTGTCAACTTTAAAGTTAGCAGTTTTTGCATGTAGATTGTTTGCATGCTTTTGTTCTCTATCTTCTCTGATAGTGTCGTTTATTCCTTCCGGTTGTGCAGTGTTATCTGGTTTTTTATTTCTGGCATCTTGTAATCCTCCAGAATGATCTACTTCTTCTTCTGTTTCTTGATAATAGTCAACCTCTTGGTTGTCATCTTCTTTGGCACCCCTTTCAGCAGCAGTCGCATATTCAGAAGAATTTGGAAGATTGTGAGTTTGCCCTAGCTCTGTATCTTCTCTGATGGTGCTGGTTATTTCCTCTGATTGTACTATTTCATCTGGTTTTTGATTTCTAGCCTCTTGTGAGATGCTACTGTCTATTTCCTCTGATTGTACTATTTCATCTGGTTTTTGATTTCTGGCCTCTTGTGAGATGCTACTGTCTTCTCGAGAACTCTGAAGCAGCTCAGTTTCTGTGTTACTGACTTTTCTTTTATACCCTTCCTCAGTCTTCTGAGTTGCATCAGGATTCATGACTCGAGTCCTTTCCTCTGCATCTGCAAAATTGTTAGGGTTTGGCCATGTCCTACCTGGTGGACTGTCATCATGATTTGTGCTAACATCTTGCATTCTGTGTTTCCCTCTATCTGATTTTACTCCTTGTTCTGGCCTTTTCTGGTTAGTGATTTGTGCCTCCGAATGTTTACCTTGTTGAACTTTATTGGTCATTTCTATCCCATGAACTTTCTCATCTGGTTTGTTCCTCACGTCCATGCCCATGTCCTTGTCTTTCTGACGGCCCATTATTTCCAGTGTACTGCCTCCAGCCCTCTCGATCCTTTCAGTTCCCATTTTTACTTTCAAGAATTTTCTGTTTCTCATGCTTGCAATTCCACGACTTTCAGGATGCATGCCACTTTCATCTGCCTGGCGCTTAGCAATTGTTTGCCGTCTCTTCGCTCTTTTTTTCCTTATGTGGTCCTTGTTCACTCTTGATGTTCCTCTGCTCATTGAATTCTCTTGCATTTCTAACTTCATCACACCTTTATCATTCACTCCAAATTCTTTGCTTTGGTTTTGCACTTGATTTTTATCATCCTCAGTTTCCTTAGATGCATTGTCATTAGTGTACCTTTTCTTGTCTAGATAAGATTCTTTCTCATTCTTATAACTGTTAGCATTCTCTTTTTGTCCTTCATTAATGTGAGAAATGGTGCTGTTTCCTGGAACATCTTGTTGAGAAGTGTTCAGCTGCTGAGACTGCTCTTCTCCAGTTTTGCCGTTCGCGTTTTCAAATCTCTCTCCATCTTTTCCTGTGTCATCAACATTCCCGGTGAATTCCTCATTTCTCTTATGGGCAGATTCATTGACACTGCTGTCTATATCTTCTGCTGAATTTTTCTGATCTTCACTTTTGATGGATTCATGCAACTCTTCACTTCCTCTTCTACCATCATGTACAGCTGCCTCGGTGGTGAAATTTGTTGCAGGATTTGATGGGTCCTCTGCATTTACTGACCAGACCTTTACAGGTGATAATTCCAGTCGGTGTTTTAAATCCTCAATTTCAGCCTCTTTCAGTCTCAAGGTTTCAGAAAGTAATGTAACTTGGGAATCATTTGACTGTGTTTCAATGTGTTTTTCCTGAAGGATCTTAATTTCACCCTGCTTTTCCTTAAGAGCAGCTTCTATTGTTCTTTGTTCTTCTTTAAGGAAAGAGATTGTCGACTTCATCTCCAAGATCCTACTGTCGAGATCCATTTTCTGCGTACGAAGCAAGTGTATGTTGGATTTCATGTCCTCTATTTGCCTTCTGGCTTCTTTTGCCTGTTCAATTTCTTTCTGTCACACAGGTGAAGAATAAAATGTTAGCTTGGGTAGCATAATAAACTCGAAAGTTATGCCAATGGCAGAAGATATAACGATTGTTATTTGTCTCATTAAAGAACTCTACTGGTCACGGATGGGGTCAGCGAGTAACGAAGGTCCACAACCTAGCTTGGTAACTGCATTATGCTTGTGGTATGTCATAGTTTGAAGAACTTTATTGATCATAGATTACTCTGTACAACTATTAACACGATAGAATTAGAATTTTGTCATCCATCTTTTCCCTTGCCAAAAGAATTAAAATGCACTTCTATTCATTCAAGAATTGATTTAACATCCAGATCCAGTCTGTGTTGTCACCTGAGTTAATTTAACATCAGATTTTGCTGAAAAGTTGTTAGATAAAACCGTTTTTTTACTGTGTACTTGTTCATTGAGAAGTACTGAACTGCTGATTCCTGATGTTATTTACCAGTGAAAATACACCGTAAGATTTTAGTTTCATTTCTTAGTGAAGAAGTGAAGACTGAGTGATATATATCAAACATCATGTAAATAGACGTTAGCCATGGACAAGCGTTCATCTTTGATTGATTGAGAGAGAGAGAGAGACCTGCAAGAGGAGTTGAAGAGCGTTGAGCTCGCGATCTTTCTCCTTGACAAAGAGGCTGCAGATGCGCCTGTCCCTGAGCTTGTGGAGAGTCATAACTCCAAAAACGGCAGCACTAAACGCGAGCAACAGCAGAAATCCATATGATCTTCCTTTGCTTCCCGTGTTTATACTGTGCCTCATGCTTTTGCTCTATCTATGTCCTTCAGGAAATGTTTAATGAGTTATGGGCAAACAGACAAGAATGGCCTTACTACTTAGGTCTTTCAGTCAATATTATTCTAATGTGTCACGGTTCACGCAGAAGAGCCACATAAATTGTGTAATTCTGCTTTATAAAGAAACTAAGGAAGAGTAGCGGAAAAAACGAGATTCTGAAGGATACATGTGCATGGCATTGGGGCCTCTGTACAAAGGACAGCTCATTCTTCCTTTGCAGTCAATCTTTCTGCATCTCTTGCGGAATAGGCTAGTTTATCCTATTTAAAGGCAAAACAGTTTCCCATATAGTACAATATTTTTGTAATTCGCACGTACTCTCGCCAGTTGAAGACTTACAACAACCACAACATAGTGGGGTTTGGGGATTGGGGATGGTAATATGTACACAGAAATTATCCCTACCTTGTGAAGGCAGAAATTTTGTTTTGCTGCAGATTTTTATTCCGACTAGCCAACTTCAAATTACGTTTTCCGATTCGTTAACCGTTGGATCGGGCTTAAATTTTGACTGAGTGTTCGTAACATCTTGGTCTTGGATTTGAATGGCGGAAATCGGATTTGAAGGCTCGTAGCATCTAATTTCGAGCCTCGAACAGCAGCTTCGTTTTGTGGATTATACTCTTTCTTCAATTGATTAGTTGTTGCTCTTGTTGCTATTGTTGCTCCGTGTTTGGCGCTTATTGTGTAGCCAATTTGGAGAACTTTTGTAACCCTCTTATTGTTATAGTGGAGTTTTTTGGATCTTTGTGATCCCGTGGTTTTTACCTTCGATTTGAAGGGTTTTCCACGTTAAAATTTGGTGTTCTCTATCTTCTTTATTTTCGAATTTGCCTCTTCCTCGACATAACAGTGGTATCAGAGCCTTGGTTATTTATCCGGGTTATTACGGAATGGAGGCGAATATGAGCAAGATGGTATGTTTAAATGAGAGAAATTATAATGTTTGGAGAAGCAAGATGAAAGACTTGTTGTTTGTGAAGAAGATGCATCTACCTGTTTTTTCAGCTCATAAACCCGAGAGTATCCGATGAAGATTGGGATTTCGAGCACCAACAAGTATGTGGATATATACGGCAATGGGTTGAAGATAATGTTCGCAACCATATTGTGAACGAGATACATGCGAGATCATTGTGGGAAAAGCTAGAGACTCTTTATGCTTCAAAAACCGGGAACAACAAATTGTTTCTGCTAAAGCAATTGATGACCTTTAAATACAAGGAAGGCAGCCCTATCCTTGATCACATAAATGATTTTCAGGGCGTCCTTGATCAGCTATCTGGAATGGGGGTTAATTTTGATGATGAGATACAAGGACTTTAACTTCTTAATACTCTGCCAGACTCTTGGAAAACTCTTCGTGTTTCTTTGACAAATTCAGCTCCTGGAGGTAAGGTGACCATGGAATATGCCAAGAGTGGTGTGTTGAACGAGGAAGTAAGGAGAAAATCACAGGGTTCATCCTCACAAGCAGATATCTTGGTTACAGAAGACCGGGGGAGAGATAGAACAAGAGGCTCAAGGAATAGAGGTAAAAGTAGAAGTAAGTCAAGGTCCAAATACTATAATGTTACATGCAACCACTGTGGCAAGAAAGGACACATCAAAAGGTTTTGCCGCAAGTTGAATCAAGACACTAGAGAAGGAAAGAAAGTTGAAAATAACGAGAACAATGTTGCTGCTATTGTTCAAGATGACCTTCTTTTTGCTTATGATGAAAACGTCATCAATTTGGTATCCCATGAGACGAGCTGGATAGTAGATTCTGGAGCTACCTCAAATGTCACACCAAGAAAAGATTTTTTCTCATCTTATACTCATGTTGATTCTGGAGTGTTAAAGATGGGCAATGCCAGTGAAGTTAAGGTGTTTGGTGTTGGCACAGTTTGTTTGAAAACTAATAATGGTTCAACGTTAGTTTCTCAAGATGTGAAGCATTCTCCAGACTTTCCTTTCAATTTGATCTCCGCAGGAAGATTAGACGATGAAGGTTACCATAATGCTCTCTTTAACGGCCAATGGAAGCTCACCAAGAGCTCGTTAGTAGTGGCTCGAGGAGTCAAGTCTGGTCAATTATATGTGACACAAGGCTCTATTCTTAATGACTCAATAAATCTGGTGGAAAGTGATAGTTTGTCAGAATTGTGGCATCGAAGATTGAGTCATATGAGTGAGAGAGGGATTACGTGTTTGGCTAAGAAAAGTTTGCTTTCTGGAGTAAAACAAGCAAAGCTGCAAAGGTGCATACATTGTTTAGCTGGCAAACAGAAAAGGGTTTCCTTTCATAGCCATCCTCCCTCAAGAAAGCCCGATTTATTAGAGCTAGTACACTCTGATTTGTGTGGTCCTTTTAAAGTAAAGTCAAAAGGTGGTGCACTTTACTTTGTGACCTTCATTGATGATCATTCTCGTAAGCTCTGGGTGTATCCTTTGAAATCTAAAGATCAAGCACTTGGCGTGTTTAAGGAATTTCAGGCCTTAGCTGAGAGACAGACGGGGAAGAAATTAAAATGTATTCGCACTGACAATGGTGGTGAATATTGTGGTCCCTTTGATAACTATTGCAAGGAACAAGGAATTCGTCATCAGAAAACTCCGCCCAAGACGCCTCAATTGAACGGTTTGGCAGAGAGGATGAATAGAACTCTAGTTGAGAGAGTTAGATGCTTACTTTCAGAGGCTAAACTTCCAAATACATTTTGGGCGGAAGCACTTAACACTGTTGCCTATGTTATCAATTTGTCTCCTGCTGTTGCTTTGGATGGTGATGTCCCAGACAGAGTTTGGTTTGCCAAAGATGTTTCTTATGATCACCTGAGAGTTTTTGGGTGTAAAGCTTGTGTGCATATTCCTAAAGATGAGAGATCGAAACTGGATGTCAAAACTAAGCAGTGCATCTTTATCGGTTATGGTCAAGATGAGTTTGGGTATCGTTTTTATGATCCAATTGATAATAAACTTATTAGAAGTCGTGATGCAATATTCTTTGAAGACCAAACTATTGAAGATATTGACAAAGCTGAGAAGATAGATTCTCAGAGTAATGAGAGCTTAGTTGATATTGATCCAGTTTCAATTGCTAAGGCACCTATTGCACATGAAGGAACCCAAGACAATGATGGAGATAGTGATCAAGATCAAAATGATCATCATGGTGTAGATGTTATGGATGCTCCAGTTGATGAAGTTGTGGTTGATCAGCAACCAATTCCTGCACAGGTAACTACTACGAATGCTCCTGAAACCTCTCTTAGAAGATCTACAAGGGAGAAGCAAAAATCCATGCGCTATCCTCCTGATGAGTATGTACTTTTGACTGACATGGGAGAACCTGAGAATTATGATGAAGCCATGCAAGATAATCACAAAGATCATTGGATCGAAGCGATGGAAGATGAGATGAAGTCACTCCATGAGAATGGCACATATGAGTTAGTGAAATTGCCGAAAGGTAAGAGAGCTTTATCTAACAAATGGATATTCAGAATAAAGCAAGATAACCATACCTCTGCGCCTAGATACAAGGCGAGGTTAGTTGTTAAAGGTTTTGGCCAGAAGAAGGGAGTTGACTTTGATGAAATTTTCTCCCCTGTTGTGAAGATGTCTTCTATTCGTGTGGTTCTAGGCTTAGCCGCAAGTCTAGATTTAGAGGTTGAGCAGATGGATGTCAAGACTGCTTTTCTTCATGGTGATTTAGATGAGGAGATTTATATGGAGCAACCTGAGGGTTTTGTAACTAAGGGAAAAGAAAATTATGTCTGCAAATTGAAAAAGAGCCTGTATGGATTGAAACAAGCTCCAAGGCAATGGTATTTGAAGTTTGAATCTGTCATTGAAGAACAAGGGTACAAGAAAACTTCTTCAGACCACTGTGTATTCTTCCAGAAGTTCTCTGATGATGATTTTATTATTTTATTGCTTTATGTGGATGACATGCTTATTGTTGGAAAGAATAAATCCAGAATTGCAGTCCTTAAGAAGCAGTTGAGCAAATCGTTTGCGATGAAGGACTTGGGGCCAGCAAAGAAAATCTTGGGCATTCAAATCCACCGACACAGAGATAGAAATGAGTTATTTCTGTCCCAAAAGCAATACATTGAGAAGGTACTCAAGAGGTTCAATATGACAGATGCAAAAGTGGTTAGTACTCCTCTTGCTAAACACTTCAAATTGAGTATTAGTCAGAGTCCATCTACTGATGAAGAGAAAAAGGAGATGTCTCGTATTCCTTACTCTTCTACCGTTGGTAGCTTGATGTATGCTATGGTTTGCACTAGACCAGATATTGCACATGCCGTTGGCACTGTTAGCAGATTCATTTCCAATCCTGGAAAAGAACATTGGGATGCAGTAAAATGGATATTAAGAGTGTATTTGGGCTAGTTTAGCCCAACAACTGGTATCAGAGCCCAGGTTCAACGAGACGAGTATGGAGATGGCGGAGTGATGGTGCGGGGCGGCACGCACACAAGAAGAAGCTAGTTGCGGGCTTCGGTTGCCATAATACTCTAACAATGTGGGTGACACACAGTAATCTCGAAAATTGACCCGTGGATCGTGGTAATGGGCCACGTGGAACTTAGTTCGAGGGGGAGATTGTTGGGTGTGCGAACAAAGTACCACATTGGTAGCTGAAAAGATTGGGAGTCTACATATAAGGTGTAGGGATATCTTAATGGTGTGAGGCCTTTTGGGAAAAATCGTGCGGGCTTGGCCCAAAGCGGACAATATCACACCATGTTAAGAGTGTCATTAGGCCGTTTAAGCCCAACACGAGCTGGCTCCAGGAGAAGAGTAAAAAGATAGATAGCTGTAAATCTATAGATCATATATTGGCTGCGCAATTAAAAAAAAAAAATCCTAAGCAAGTTGGGGATTGACTATAGGAATTCTCACGAAGTATGCTACAATGAAATCGGAATGTAGTTGTAATACAATTACCGCTGTTTGCATCAAATCATTAATAGTGCATACCATGTATCTTCGAGATAAACTTTAATCACCTAACTATAATTAATTATATGTATACTTATGTGACTTTTACGGTTAAATATTTGGTTTCATGTAAATATCATAGGATACAGTCTTTTTTGGTAACTTCCCT